TGTCGCCGCCCCGGAGAGGCCGCCGCGACTCCCCGGACCTGTCGCCGCCCCGGCGAGGCCGCCGCGACTCCCCGGACTGGTCGCCCAAAAGAGCACCTTTAGTGCCTGGAAAAAAAAGCACCAAAACTATGGACAAATCGCAACAGGGAGGAGACCAAGGAGACCGATCTCATCTGAGAGATGGGTTCCCACATAAGTTCTCATCGCATCCTAAGCGGCAGATAACTCCAGATCATTCACCCCCCAGGAAGAGTAGAGAGAATTCTGACAGAACCACATCACCGTCTACGAAGCACCTTTAGTGCCTGGAAAAAAAAGCACCAAAACTATGGACAAATCGCAACAGGGAGGAGACCAAGGAGACCGATCTCATCTGAGAGATGGGTTCCCACATAAGTTCTCATCGCATCCTAAGCGGCAGATAACTCCAGATCATTCACCCCCCAGGAAGAGTAGAGAGAATTCTGACAGAACCACATCACCGTCTACGAGAAAAAGAACTGGGTCACCTAGTGGGCTGAAAAAACAGAGCAGCTCAAGAGGTGAGTGTGTGTGACAGTGATGGGCAATGTGTGGCCCATGCAGGTTTTCTGTGCGGCTCACGACACATTTGGTTTACCATTGCCTATCCACAGGTTGGCCAGATTCTGCTGGTTTCTCTCTGCGAAGTTTTTTTCCTACTGGTATTACAAAGGTGATACGCACATGGAGTGAGGTGCGTGCTGATTGCACACAACATTGACTGAGAGCTGTGCGCTCCCTCTGCATCCAATCACAGCGCCGGTATGGTTCAGTTGGCACCGCCCGCAAATTCCAGGTGTGCAAGTGCACTTAGCAAAACTGCCCTCTTCTGGGAGACCATCTTGGTTGTGACAGTCTTACAGCCACTGAGATGAAGGGCCTCTCATGCAGCCCCTCACCAGCTGTGAGCCCTAGGAAGCAGCAAATCACTCAAGTCTCTTATTTCTAAACATTGTCTGTGACAGTGTTTCCATGCTGCTACCAGCGTGGAATCAGTGTTTCACTGTTTTCCTGGGTACGTTTAAAGATGGTAGGACTTGGACTTACCTTACAACAAGTGTCAAAATTCTTAGTCTTGAACATTTTGTAATAGTAAAGCTACGTCTCACCGTCCTCTTCTGCACAGACTTAGCAAGGGATTAGAAATCAACCCAAAGGGCCTTAAGGATCTGCATCAAAGGCAAACGGAGAGTAAAAGGAACCCCCCACACAGCAAAGAAGACTAGCGAATATGAACAATATCCTTTTTTTTTTTTCTTCCAGCGAAGAGGTGACGTTAGGGACAGTTGACCTAGCCCATGCTAATGGGAAATAGCCTCATTCAGGAATGAAAGTGTTAGACCAATGTGCTTTTGCCTAAGTACTTGTCAGTATTTTTATGTGTGTAAGAAGAGGGATTTTTAAAATAACTTCCGGGCTGAGAGGAGGCTGACCTCAGCGTTTGATAGGGAGGTCTATAGGGAGTGCCCGGGGTTCTGTTCTCTGTACGCTGTTTATTGCGTGCCATATTTAACATCTGCTTCCCAAGGAGGCTAGCTCAGCTCTGCAGAGACACACATCAGACGCTTGCATGTCTAGGCTTTGACAGGGCTCCAAATGGTAATTCCGCTGTGATTATAATTCAGGGTCTCTGTATTATTGCAGGCTTTTCTCCAGCCTGTAAAAAGCCTAAACCGGCTCCATCGCCTAAAAGGCGCCAGAGGCATGACTCTGATTCTTCACTGCCACAGAAGAGTTCCCAGGACTCGTCTGATTCTGATCTTTCCCCGCCACGGAACAGTCGCAGAGCAGGCCTGCTACGCCATGACTCCCCCTCCAAACGCTCTCTTCCCAAGAAGAATCGGAACGCGTCTTCAGATTCCGATTTATCTCCTCCCCGAAGGAGGCAGGCAGCTGGAAAGAAGCTCCATGGTTCCCGGAGCCCTCCTGCCCGCTTGCTGCCGCTTCGAGGCCCGGGTTCTAAAAGTTCTTCCCCAGGGGATAGAGGAGAGGACCAAAAGGTAATTCCCATGCTGCCCTCCCTGCACACCTCGCCCCTGAGCTGCGGTGAGCGAATAGCTTTGTCCTCTTGACCCACTCGTTCTTTTGTGTGTCTGCCACAGAGGGGCTGGTTATTTCCCTGGGGGGGAGGTGGGTTGGGGATGCGGACATCTCCCTAGGAACTGCACCGAAATCACCAGTGCATCACGCGGAGGGGGCCTCCAAACAGCCTTCGGCTAGTGGTAACGTGTGGTGTCCCTTTTGGATTTGCAGGCCAGCCAGATGCTCTCTGGGGGTAAAGCTGGCTTGGTGTCAGCCGACCTGCTGCGAAGGGAACAGCAGGAGCTCAGGAGACATGATAGACATAACAAACATTTGGAAGGTAAAGGGTTAATGAGTCTGCAGTGGGCATCAGCCTGCTCTCAAGGACAGTCTGGCTGCCACTGCTTTTTTGTGCTTGTTGTAGGGGTGTTGGATGTGTGGGGTTGTGGCTCAGTACTTCTCTGGGCACTGCAAAAGGCCTCCGGGGCCTGCATAAGCCCCTTTTGTTTTCAGTTCAAACTGACTTTTATCAAAAAATACCGGGTTTTACAAAGAGTTTTAGTTTTTTGCATTTGTCACCCTCCTTTAGTATCATTCAAATATGTAAAACAAAAACTTGCTTTATTAGGAACACAAAATACATTGCCAGAGAGAGATGCATTCTGATATTCCAGTCCTCTGCGTGTACGTGCAAAACTGCCTGCTGGAATAAGGCTACGTAGTAGAGTAGAAGGTATACTCGGTAAACAAACAGGCATGCACGCAGGCTGTGAAGGGTGTGCGCACCTGAACGCAGTGATGAATCTCATGCCCACCACATAATGGTTTAAAGATTTGACCAATTAAAATGGGAAGGAAATGCAAATGTGTAACAGTACATTTCAGAACACAAGTGAGTATTCAAAGGCTTTTTAAGAAAACAAGAACAGGCGAAAAGGATGAAGTTGAATATATTTGCTGCAAGTGGCGTGGTCCAGTTATTAAATGTAAATATTGAAATGCCAATAGTTCTAAGTCTACAACAGAAAACTGTTTATTCAAATGAAAAGTTTTATTTGGGAATTAGAGGTACATTGTTTTCTTAAACTCAGAAGTGGCAATGTGTTTTGAGTCTGTTTTAGTTCTGTAGCAAACCACATGGAACAGAGTTCACAGCATTATTTTTCTGAATACTTTTTACCCATTTTATGTACCCCACTATTTACCCAGAAATTGTATTAATATTTAGTGCACTGATTTCCAGTAGGGATGTAAAATCCCATTTAATTACTTAACCGGTTAAACATTAAATGTAACCAGCTAACTGGGGGCAGATAAGGGTTGTAAAAGAGTCGGAGGAGAGAGACTACCTACAGACGACAGTTGGGAGTGCCTAGAAATTGGTGGTGGTTCTCTTGTTATTGGTTCATGGTCTTTTTCTGAGGCGGGACTACTTTAAAGACAAAAACATGCATAGCAGCCGAAAGGCTCTTGAAGTGAATTGACATGGGGACCTGACTGGACGGAGATTTTGGAAGTGTTGTAAAATGACTAACCCGCACGTTCTCGTGTCCTTAGAGGAGTCCCAGAATGCCGAAACAGTCTTTCGAGACAAATCCGGCCGCAAGAGGGATCTTGCGCAGGAACGACGTGAGCAGCAGAAGAAGGCGGAGGCGAAATCCGAGAGAGATGAGCTCTATGCCAAGTGGGGCAAGGGGTGAGACCCTGGAGTTTCCTAGCAAACTTTTCAGCCCTTCTGTCCATGCATAACATCCCCTCCTCCTCATGGGGTAACATCTTGAGGCCAGCAAAGGTGGCAGTTGGGGTGGTAGCTGTAGTGATATAAACGCAAGCCCCTTTGGGGCTAGCCTGAGATCCACTGGACTCCTTTCCCGGAACTCTGGCCAGGCAGCAAGATTCTGGATTTGACCCTGTGACTGGGATGCCAAATGTTCTGTCATCTTAGTGGTCTCTTGAACCTTCCTGCCCTGCACTGGCGCGAGGCTTGTGAGTGCTGTGCCCTTGCTGGTAGAACGGGATTGCACTCAGACAAGCAGACTGAGTAATCAACAGGAGGCATCCTGGGACTGACTTTCGCTAATGGAAGGCTTCCTATGTTTCTTTTCCAGCCTGGCTCAGAGTAGGCAGCAGCAGCAGAACGTGGAAGATGCAGTAAAAGAGATGCAGAAGCCACTGGCTCGTTATATTGATGACAAGGACTTGGATCAGATGCTTCGAGAGCAGGAAAGAGAAGGGGACCCCATGGCTAACTTCCTCAGAAAGAAAAAAGCCAAAGAGAGCCAGGAGAAGAAAGGTGGGGTTGTACTTACGGCAGGTCAGGGCTCCAGTGTAGGGATGTAAGTGACTAATCGAGTCACAACTCACCTACTCGCTCTCCCCCACCCACTGTCTCGGTGTCAGAGGCAGCGAGGGGGGGGGAGCAGGAACCAGTGCTGGGGGGAGCTGGCTTAAAAGCTGGTTTCCCCCAGCACTGTGTCTGTGGTACAGAGGGGAGGGAGGCAGGGGAGGCAGAGGCGCAGTGGTCAGGGACCGGTGGGAGCCAGGACTGCGCCTCTGCATTTTCAGTGTAGTAAGAGCCGCGTGGCAGAGGCGCAGCGGTCCGGGACCCGGCTTGAGCAGGGACTGGGACCTACTCCTGCTGCAGCTCTGCAGTTTAAATGTGGTAGGAGCTGGGCTGCCAGCACACTTGGCTCCTGCTGCATTGAAACTGGAGAGCCGCAGCAGGGCCCCTCATCGACTAATCACGATTAGTCAGTTACCCGCTTCTTAACACCCTTGCTCCAGTGACACAGCGGTGAGCAAGGCGGCTGTTAATACACTGTACTCTCTGGGATAACGACTGACTGGACTGTTGCTGGCAAGCTGGGTTCTGGTTGGCTGGGAGTCTGGGTGAGCAGAGGTGCTCTGCTCTGAAGAGCCAAGAGAATTCAAAGAGACACAAGGCATTTGGGAGTTGTGCCCGTGAGCAGCGGGCGGCTTCCAGCAGTCTGATGTTAATGTACCCACGGGACTGGCCCGAGTAGTAATGGATTATATTGCTGCTTTTCTCTGTCTCTAGAGAAGCCCAGGTACAATGGACCAGCACCTCCCCTCAACAGGTTTAACCTATGGCCTGGCTATCGCTGGGATGGAGTGGACAGGTAAGGATTCCCGATAACC